GGGGGGGGGGGGGGGGGACTTGATGGGCCTATGGGCCTCTCTCTAATTTTTTTTTTTGTAAAATTAGCCCATAATTTATTGAGTTGGGTATTTTTGTGAGAAATTGAGAAAAAGTCCAAATTCCTATTTTATGATTTAAATAAATTCATAAAATATAATTCAAGTAAAAATATTTAAAATATGTAAACTCTATATTTTATGCAAGTTTTAAAAATTATTTGGAGTGTTTGGCATTTTTTAAGACGATTCGGTTCGTTACGGGTCGTAACAGTGTTTTGTACGCAACCTACCGGGATTTCTAACTACTTAAGCTCTAATCGCTCTACTTGAGTGTTAATAATATTTCTAAAGTGCTATCTGGCTACTAATCTGGTATTTAAATTTCCAGATGTCACAGCTTCCCCCTGTTAGAGGAATTTCACCCCGAAATTTAACTGTTGGTATCACCGATTGGTTCTTTCATAAATAGCTGCGGGTAATTATTTTTCATAAAGTCCTCCCTTTCCCAAGTGTACTCAGGTCCATGCCTTGAATTCCATCAAACTTTCATGATAGGAATCTTACTATGCCTCAGTTGTTTGACTTCAAAGTCGAGGATTTCGATCGGCTTTTCAACGAAGCGTAACCGTTCATTAATTTGAATGTCTTCCAAAGGTAGAACCAATGATTCGTCGATTAAACATTTCTTAAGGTTTGATACATGAAATGTATCATGGATGGCACTAAGCTCTTGTGGCAAGTTTAGTTTGTATGCAACCGGTCCTACTCTTTCGAGTATTTCAAATGGACCAACGTACCTTGGGCTAAGTTTTCCTTTCTTTACGAAGCACACAACTCCTTTCCATGGAGATACTTTTAAAAGGACTTTATCACCCACTTGAAATTCCAACGGTTTCCTGCGGTTATCAGCGTAGCTCTTTTGACGATCTCTTGTAGCTTTAAGTCTTTCTTGGACGATCGAGATTTTGTCGGTTGTCTCCTGGATGATGTCGGGTCTAGTCAGCTGTTTGTCACCAATTTCCAACCAGCTGAGTGGGGTTCTACATTTACGTCCATACAAGGCTTCGTACGGTGCGCACTGGATACTGGTGTGATAGCCATTGTTGTAGGAAAATTCAACCAATGGTAGRTGAGTATCCCAACTRCCTCCAAARTCTATCACACAGGCTCGTAACATATCCTCTAGCATTTGGATAGTCCTTTCCGTTTGCCCAACCTCGTGCCTAGTGCCTTTTGAACTGATTGCCATAATCGTGAAGTAAAACGGCTATCTTTGTCCGAGATGATAGAAATAGGTACTCCATGATGCGATATGATCTCATTGATATATAATTGTGCAAGCCTTTCCATATTGAAGTCTTCTCGAACAGGTAAAAAGTGCGCGGATTTTGCAAGCCGATCCACTATGACCCAAATTGGGTCATGTCCTCTCCTCTACCTAGGTAACTTAGTAACGAAGTCCATTGATATCTAATCCCACTTCCATTGAGGAATCTCTGGTTGCTGAAGGAGACCAGACGGTTTCTGATGCTCAGCTTTTACCCTTGCGCATGTTAAGCATCGGCTTACGTACAAAGCAACGTCCTTCTTCATTCCTGGCCACCAGTAATACTCTCTTAGCTCTTTGTACATCTTATTGGTTCTTGGGAGAATTGAGTATCTTGAGCGATGTGCTTCCTCCAAAATTGTTGACGCAAGGCTGTCGTCCTTTAGTATCCAAACTCTATCTCTGAAGTAACGCATCCCATCTGCTCGAGTTTCGAATTCCTTCTCTAAGTGGGGAAGGGTCTCGTTCCTCAGATTCTCCGTTTTCAATGCCTCTTCTTGAACTTCAAGAATTTGCGTTTTTAGGTTCGTTTGAATCAGCATCCCCATGGCTCATACCCTTGACGGTTTTACCATTTCTTTCTGGCTTAATGCGTCTGCTACTACGTTAGCTTTCCCCGGGTGGTACTTTATTTCACAGTCATAATCGTTGAGAAGTTCGACCTATCTCCTTTGCCTCATGTTCAACATCTTTTGGTCTAGGATATGTTGAAGGCTTTTGTGATCAGTGAAGATGGTGCATTTGGTGCCGTAGAGATAATGTCTCCAAATCTTGAGTGCAAACACCACTGCTCCTAGCTCCAAGTCGTGAGTGGTGTAGTTCTTTTTCATGAACCTTGAGTTGCCTTGATGCATAAGCAATGACCTTGTCATTTTGCATCAGCACACATCCCAAGCCTTGGTGTGACGCATCGAAGTATACCACAAATTTCTCCATACCTTCTGGTAGCGCTAAGATCGGTGCGTGATATAGCTTATGCTTGAGCAATTGGAACGCTTCTTCTTGCTTTTCTCCCCACATAAACTTCTTATCCTTCTGGGTTAATGCCGTCAGTGGTTGTGCGATCTTGGAGAAATTTGAAATAAAACGACGATAGTAACCTGCTAAACCGAGAAATTGGCGAATTTCTGTCAGGGTCCTTGGGGTTTCCCACTTCTTTATAGCCTCAACTTTGGCCGGATAAACATGAATTCCCTTCTCATTTACCACATGACCAAGGAAGTGCACCTCACGAATCCAGAATTCGCATTTGGAGAATTTGGCATACAATTTCTGATCCCTTAACAGCTCAAGTATCAACTTTAAGTGCTGCTCATGCTCCTCCTTGTTTTGCGAATAGATCAGTATGTCATCTATAAATACAATCACAAACTTATCCAAATATGGCCTACATACTCTATTCATTAAATCCATGAAGACTGTCGGCGCGTTAGTTAACCCAAAGGGCATAACTAAGAACTCATAATGACCATAACGAGTCCTGAACGCCGTCTTAGGAATATCTACCTCACGGACCCTCATTTGATGGTATCCGGATCGAAGATCGATCTTTGAGAAGTAAGTGGCACCTTGAAGTTGATCAAAGAAGTCATCGATTCGGGGAAGGGGATATCGGTTCTTGATGGTCAGCTTATTGAGTTCCCTATAATCGATGCACATCCGAAGGGATCCGTCTTTCTTTTTAACAAATAGTAGTGGAGCTCCACAGGGTGAAGAGCTGGGTCTGATGAATCCTTTTTCGAGTAGCTCCTTAAGTTGTTCTGACAATTCTTTCATTTTCGATGGTGCCAAACGATAAGGTGATTTGGCTACGGGCGCTGCTCCAATAATTAAATCAATGTGGAATTCAACTTGCTGTAACGGGGGTAATCCTGGCAGCTCATCAGGAAATACCTTGGGAAAATCCTGGATGCGTTTCTCTTCGATTCTCTTATCCACAATGTGGGCTATAAACGCGACATATTCCTTTTTCAAGTATTTCTGCATCTTCATACCTGTTACTAACTTGAAATTTCTCTGGGACTTCTCTCCGTGCACTACGAGCGTTTCACTTCCTTTTAAAATTCGGATGGTCTTCTCAGAACAACATATGTCGGCTCGATTTTTGGATAGCCAATCCATACCCACAACTACATCAAAGCTTCCTAATTTGATTGGAATAAGGTCTATGCTAAAGTCTTGTTCGGCTAAACGTAAGGTACAATTCATGATTACGTCTTTAGTCCTAACTTCCTGTCCATTAGCAAACTCGATAACAAAATCTTCTTTCAGCTTTTGTGACTTTAAACTAATCTTTGGTCTAAATTCTAGTGACACGAAGCTCCTATCTGCTCCAGAATCAAATAATACGGATGCATAATGATTGTTCAGGAGGAATGTACCTGTGACCACGTTCGGGTCTTGCCTGGCTTCTTCTACCCCAATCTCAAACGCTCGACCTCGTGCTTGGCCTCCTTGATTTCCTTGGTTGACTGGTCGTGTTGGGTTAGTAACTGGCCCTCGGTTCAGTCTCGGGCATGCATTCCTGAAGTGATCCGGACTTCCGCACTCGTGGCATGTTCGTCTCCTTCCGCTCCTGCAATCTTTAGCGAAATGACCTCCTTTGTTGCATCTGAGATAGATGATGCATCTCCCGCCATGGTGATTATTGCATTTGTCACACTTAGAGTAAGTTCCCTTGCCCTTTTCTGCTATCTGTGTCTGAGCCCCAAAGTTTCTTATCACTTTTTGGGCCTTACCGCCCCTCTCGCTGTAGTTCTTTCTCGTGGGCTCCTCCATTCTTCTCTTACCCTTGACTTTATCATTTGCAAATGATCCTGACCGAATAGCATTGTTGGTGAGCTTTGTTAAGTTTACAGCGTCTTGAAGTGTTTTTGGATTGGCCGAAGTCACATTCCCCCGGATTTCTGGAGCTAAACCCCAGACATAACGGTCAATTCGGTTCTCTTCGGGTGATACTAAGTGTGGCACCAGTTTTGCTAGCTCATGAAAGCGAGCGGTGTATGAGTCTACATCATTTCCCTTTATTTCGTGATTCCACAGTTCTACTTCTAACTTTTGGATCTCGCTCCTCGGACAGTACTCTTCCTTGAGTAATTTCTTGAATTCTTCCCACGTAAGTCTGTTGGTTACTTCCCGACCTCGGGTTTGTATCTGGGTATTCCACCANAACTTATCCAAATATGGCCTACATACTCTATTCATTAAATCCATGAAGACTGTCGGCGCGTTAGTTAACCCAAAGGGCATAACTAAGAACTCATAATGACCATAACGAGTCCTGAACGCCGTCTTATGAATATCTACCTCACGGACCATCATTTGATGGTATCTGGATCGAAGATCGATCTTTGAGAAGTAAGTGGCACCTTGAAGTTGGTCGATCAAGTAATCGATTCGGGGAAGGGGATATCGGTTTATTGATGGTCAACTTATTGAGTTCCCTCTAATCGATGAACATCCGAAGGGACCCGTCTTTCTTTTTAACAAATAGTACTGGAGCTTCCCAGGGTGAAGAGCTGGGTCTGATGAATCTTTTGTCGAGTAGCTCCTTAAGTTGTTCTGACAATTCTTTCATTTTCGATGGTGCCAAACGATAAGGTGATTTGGCAACAGGCGCTGCTCCAGGAATTAAGTCAATGTGGAATTCGACTTGCCGTAACGGGGGTAATCCTGGTAGCTCATCGGGAAATACCTCGGGAAAATCCCGAACTATGGGAAAATCTTGGATGCGTTTCTCTTCGATTTCCTTATCCACAATGTGGGCCATAAATGCGACATATTCCTTTTTCAAGTATTTCTGCATCTTCATGCCTGTTACTAACTTGAAATTTCTCTGGGACTTCTCTCTGTGCACCACGAGCGTTTCACTTTCTTTTAAAATTCGAATGGTCATCTCAAAACAACATATCTCGGTTCGATTTTTGGATAGCCAATCCATACCCACAACTACATCAAAGCTTCCTAATTTGATTGGAATAAGGTTTATGCTAAAGTCTTGTTCGGCTAAACGTAAGGTACAATTCGTGATTACATCTTTAGTCCTAACTTCCTGTCCATTAGCAAACTCGATAACGAAATCTTCTTTAAGCTTTTGTGACTTTAAACTAATCTTTGGTCTAAATTCTAGTGACACGAAGCTCCTATCTGCTCCAGAATCAAATAATACGGATGTGTAATGATTGTTCAGGAGGAATGTACYTGTGACCACGTTCGGGTCTTGCCTGGCTTCTTTTACCCCAATCTCAAACGCTCGACCTCGTGCTTGTCCTTTTTGATTTCTTTGGTTGACTGGTCGTGATGGGTTAGTAACTGGCCCTCGGTTCAGTCTCGGTCATGCATTTCTGAAGTGATCCGGACTTCCGCACTCATGGCATGTTCGTCTCCTTCCGCTCTTGCAATCTTTAGCGAAATGACCTCCTTTGTTGCATCTAAGACAAATGATGCATCTCCCGCCATGGTGATTATTGCGCTTGTCACACTTAGAGTAAGTTCCCTTGCCCTTTTCTGCTGTTTGTGTCTGAGCCCCAAAGTTTCTTATCACTTTTTGGGCCTTACTGCCCCTCTCGCTGTAGTTCTTTCTCACAGGCTACTCCATTCTTCTCTTACCCTTGACTTTATCATTCGCAAATGATCCTGACCGAATAACATTGTTGGTGAGTTTTGTCGCTAAGTTCACAGCGTCCTGAAGTGTTTTTGGATTAGCCGAAGTCACATTCCCCCGGATTTCTGGAGCTAAACCCCAGACATAACGGTCAATTCGGTTCTCTTCGGGTGATACTAAGTGTGGCACCAGTTTTGCTAGCTCATGAAAGCGAGCGGTGTATGAGTCTACATCATTTCCCTTTATTTCGTGATTCCACAGTTCTACTTCTAACTTTTGGATCTCGCTCCTCGGACAGTACTCTTCCTTGAGTAATTTCTTGAATTCTTCCCACGTAAGTCTGTTGGTTACTTCCCGACCTCGGGTTTGTATCTGGGTATTCCACCATGTCAATGCCCGTCCTTGCAGTAAACAGGCTGCAAACTTCACTTTGCTCCCTTCAGCACATTTATTGATATGAAGGACGTACTCCATTCCTTCAATCCAAATAAGTAATCCCACGACTCCTTCTGTCCCATGGAATTCTTTTGGGTTGCAAGCCCTAAAGCCTTTGTATGTGCAATCTTTATTTGCTGTTGTATCTTGGTTGTTTGCTTGGTTAGCGTTCAAGCCTGCTGCTACTTGGCTAACTATATTAGGAAGGGCCGCAAGAATTTGCTCGGACACAAGTCTYRCWATTTCGGGATCTTCTCTTCTTGGAGGCATRTTTCTAAYGCACAAATTTTAAWTCGAAGTTTGGTTATTTTTACTRTTTATCAYTGTATCTACTTTATTGAATTATGCACGGCATAATACAATCATATAGACATGCATCCATGGCAATATATAATAACTTGTAATAATAAAGGCATTCAATCATTAATCAACATAATTTAACCAAAATAAAAACCCATATCATCCATAAAGAAAATAAAGAYGTGSAACAAAAAGAAAGAAATTGTTCATAAGTCACGACTACATGCCCCAAAAGAAGATTCTAAGTTTGATCTATCAAAATCTTAGTAAAATAGAGTCTTCTAGCGCATTAGACTCCAAACAAGTAGTCCCATCACTATCACCAAAACTCCCGCTAACACCGCCAAGTAGGTATATAACCTCCTAATCGCTCCCCTAGCGGTGTTAATCAACTCCAACAAGCGATCCATCATATTGTCTTGTGTGCCTAGGGCCATAATCACCCCGTCGGCGAAGTGTCGATGATGATCCAACCTAAGCTCACACATCTTTAGGTATTGGGCGATGCCCAAAATCCATAGGTTCTCTAAGGTGGTCCTACCCGGAGAGCGCTCTGTCGAGGTCCTGGTAGTAGGTGGGGGGGTCACGCTACGGGTGCGCGATTGAGATGACTCCCTCCTAACTCCGGAAGGGGTGGAGAAAATACTCTTTCGGGTGGTGGCTCGAACTCTAACTCCATGTGTCGCTAATGGATGCGCGGGCATAGAGCGGGGCGGCACGGGGGTAGGTGATCGTGCTGGGGACTCGGTGACATCGTCGTCACTATCGTAACTATGCTCGGAGGGGTCGTATTCTTCGGAGTTCGAATATTCATTAGCTGACGACATAGCGCTGCGATATTTAACAAAATTTAAATTATTGAACGAATCATAATAAATATCAAAAAGATGCAATGTTTATGCAAACCGACATATGCAAATCATGTTTTTCTTATTTGAGTAAGAAGTTCTTAACTTTAGACGAACACCTAACATAACCGGTTCGCGTCTCTCCTTATACATGCTTAATTAGACATAGGTGATCAGACTCTGTCTAATTAGAGTATGCTAAGAAGGCAGTCATTCTAGTTATATTAGTAGTATGTTCAATTTGAATTTTTTTTAAGACTCTTTTAAGAAAATTATTTTGTAAAATTTTGGGTTATAGTGTATGGTTTTCTTAGAAAACCAGTATTCTCTATAACCTACCGCTCTGATACCAAATCTGTCACACCCGCTATAGCGGAAACACGAGGTATGGCAGGTAGAGTCTCATAGCAATATAGTATAAATAACACCATCATACATTATAATTACATTACGTCACTAACCAAAGTTTACATTCCCAAAACGACAAGTTTGTAAATTATAACAAAAAATTCGAAGGTGATGTTTGAAACACGGTTTCTTTTAAATGCCACCATATGCCTTCCTTATCCCTGAAAAGCACGTTAAAACAAGTGTCACCTACAAGAGTTGGTGAGTTCATAGGTTTTCAATGTACAACAAATCTTTATGCAATAATTAGTTCGAGTAAGTCTTTTACTTACTCGCAACAACTTTCATACGTGTAGCATTTTTAACGAGGCACAATGTACTCCAAGTAATTTTAAGTGTTGGGCCACTACTAAACCTGCGACAACTACGCCATTTATACCGAACTATCTCAGCGGTGGTGTTTAAACCACATGGATAGAACCCGTGTTTTAGTTAAATGCACCCCTACTCGTCAGTAAAAGGTGGGATTGTCAATCCAAAAAGCGCTATCCGCTTAAACTATCGGCTCATACGAGTTAATAAGTAGTGTAACTGATATGTGTTGAGAATTCAACACATAATGCATTCTTTTTACGACTTTGTCAAAATTGGTTTCATTTCATTCCCACTTTGAGTCATTTTGATTTATTTATTTATGCTTTTATTATGAAGCTAAAATATTGTGGTTAAACTTGTTGGAACGCAAAGATACAAGCTAACGAAGAATATTTGTTAAAACAGCCTGATGCTACAGCATTGGAGCAGCAGCCACCTGATACGTGCACGACTTTGCAAGGGCTTAACGATTAAACTGCTACCTTTTGGATGCTTACTGGAAGACAGCTGGAAATAGCTGGAAGATTTTTAAAAAATCTGGGATTTTTGACTTAATTTGTACTTTTATACTTTAGATCCCATTTGCTTAACCTTTGGACATTAACTTGTGGTTAATACCTTTGTTGTGTAGTGCAAGGCCTTGTGTACAAATAGGGGTCTTAACCTTGTGATTACACACACCTTATAACATATTTTCAAGATCAAAATCAGCTTGTTAGGGCTGATTTTGGGACAAACTTTTGAGAAATCCCAGTTCTTGAATTTAAGCTTTCATCTTTTAATTTCTTGTTCTTTATTTTATGTTTATTTACGTTTATTGTTATTTACTTTCCGTTATTTAATTTACGCAATTTACATTCTCGTCATTTATTTTCTCGCAATTTACATTCCCGTCATTTACTTTCTCGTTATTTATTTCCTCGTTATTTACTTTATGCAATTTACGTTTATGTCTTTACTTTCCATCATTTATTTTTTTACTTTCCGTTATGAGTAGCTAAGCTTTTATAGCTTGGGTGTGAGACGAAAAAGTGAGATTTTTTAAACCAAACGAAAGTGGCTAAGTGTTTTCGTAAACGACGTTCCATTGTTTCAGTCGAGTTTTTATAAAACCAAGCACATTTCTTGACAGATTGATCACTTTGAAAGTGTTAAAGTGCAATGAACTTAGATATAAGCCATTAATAAGCACGTCAACTTGAATGACATAAGAGGTAGACTTGAGAAAGATTCCGACAAGGAGACTTGTCATTTATGTTTTTCAAAACTTAACTCCCGACGGGTTGGTCACTCTTCGAAAGTGTCAAAGTGTGATAGATTAAGAGATGAACTATCAAGAACACGCCAACTCGAATGATATGGGAATCGATTCAAGAGAGTGATTTTTAACAAAGAAATTTGTTTATCCATATATTTTGAAAACACCATCTTGTCACTATCCCTGGTCCGGACACCATATAGAGATATGGGTGGAAAGCTATAATATAGTGCAATGGTGAAGTCCGAGAGGAATGCCTTCAAAATATATGATGGAACTTAATTTCAAAACACTGCTTGCTGTAGCATTCCTATAGCATTGGCTGCTGGAATTTGTGTTTGGGTCTCACCTTAAGTCTTACACCTTTGCTTCTTTTATATATTCTGTATTCTGTTTTAATTTACCTTAAAATCAAACATAAGTCTTCAAAATCGTCATTTGAAATCATCTCTTTCATTGGACTCTAATTAAACTTTGGCTGCAATCTTCGTGGACGATAATCCGGTACTTATACCACTTTATTACTTGGAAATACGACGTTGGACCGTATTGTATACCTGTTTTATGGCCCAATTTCATTAAGTCTAAAGGTGTGAGATATAACCCGACCAAGTTTTTGGCGCCGCTGCCTGGGATTGGCAAGCTAAAAGTTTTATTTTGAGTAAAGTAAAAGATTTGATTTTTCTAGTACTGTTTGAATTGTTTTTAAAAGTGGTGTATGCCACGGTCACAACGCGGGAAATTTTCCGAACTTGATCTCGACATTGAGAGAACGTTTCACCATAGAAGGAGGGTTCAAAGAGCATTTTTTTCTCTACTTCCTTCGAACATGGCGTTACCTTCCCCAATCATTCCAGAAATACCGCATTTGGAAAACCAACCGCCGGTTTTTGCACCAATACCACCATTCCCGAACTTTCAACAAAGACACCCACATAATGACAATAATTTGGGTAACGAGGATACATAATCGGAACATAATGAACAACAAAGAGCACAAACTCCGAACATCATTAATTTGGCAAATTCCAAAAATGGAAGAATTATGGACTATGTTATTTCGGATTTTGAGCAATTGAATTCCGGGATAGTTAGACCACATATGACCGCTCTCCATTTCGAACTAAAACCGATAATGTTTCACATGTTGCAAACGAATGGCCAATTTGCCGGATTACGTTTGGAGGACCCACATTCGCATTTAAAATCTTTTATGGAAATCACAGATGCTTTCCTGATCCCGGGAGTGTCAAATGACGCTCTAAGACTCACTTTGTTTCCATTTTTCTTAAGGGATCGGGCAAAAGCATGGTTTAACTCTTTAACACCGGGTTCTGTGCCTTCGTGGAGTAACATGGCAGAATTTTTTTTGCGAAAATATTTCCCACCAACAAGGAACACTAAGTGTAGGAACAAAATCTGTCTTTTCAAACAAATGGACGATGAGGCTGTTCCTGACGCACGGGAAAGGTTTAAAGAGTTGTTGAGAAAATGCCCACACCATGGCATTTCGTACTGTATTTAACTTTAGACGTTTTACAATGGGTTAAATCCCATGGCAAAAGAAATGCTCGATGCGACTACAGGCGGCGCCTTCACAGCCATGACCTATAATGAAGGATATGAAATCCTAGAAAAGATATCAGCCAACAATGGGCATTGGGCTGACCCACGTGCTCAATCACAGAAAAAGACTATTGGGATACATGATGTAGATGCATATACTGCATTAACAACTCAGCTTACCTCCATGACCAACCTGCTGAAAAATTTAACTTCTGGTCAGGGAGGACAGCAAGTTGCTAATACACCTGTCCCAACAGTCCTCTCTGTGCAATGTGTGTGCTGTGGTGGGGAACACTCGTATGAACATTGTCCTCATAATTCTGAATCCATAAACTTTGTTCATAATGGATCTGGTCCCTATACMAACAATTACAATGCAAGTTGGAAACAACACCGAAATTTTTCTTGGACCAGTCCATGCTTAAATCCACCCGCACCTAAGCAGCAAGGAACTTCAAATTTCCAACCACAACATCATGGAAACAGTTCTAACTCTCACCAACAAAGTTTTCAGAATACCCAACCACCTTTTCAAAACAAGCCACCTCCATAGGCTGACTTATCATTTTCTTTGG